TAAAAAAATTAAAAAGAATAAATTTATCAATAAAATTAAAAAATTTCAATCTACTAGTGATTTGGTACAAAAAGTTATATTAAGTAGTTTTTTTAATCTATTAATGATTTGAACCTTAATCATTATCCGTTACTTTTAAACCACTAAATAAAAAGTTTTACCAAATACATCATTTATAATAGTTTAAAAAAAAATAAATTTATTAAACATCTAATTTTAACGGTTTGAACAAATCCATTAAACTTTATCTCCAAACAGCTATAACAAATGTGCATTGAAGAAAGGAAAATTCAACATCCGCTGAAGAAGCTACTCGCTCCAAAGGAGCTTCAGCTAAAGGCATTGAAGAAAGGAAAATTCATTCTCAATCCATAAGGATATGAGTTATAGACAGTGTTGCAGAAAGCACCACCCAGGCGTGCCAGGGCGGCACCATTGCTGTGGGTGAACATCTATCACCCACCTTGGCTCATAGGCGACGAAGAAAGGGTGCAAAATTTAGAAGGCGTCACACAGGAAAGGGAAGGCGCTATAAGGCGGCGCTTAGAAGATTTGGGCGACGGATAAGAGTGATCAAGTGCTCCCGTGTGTCACTCAATTCTCCAATGCAATCAGAAATTTAAATTGAACCAAAGGAAATCAAACACTAAATCCAAAACATCTCCTGCGCAATTTTAGCTTCAAAAAGCATTTTGTTGACGAGAGAGATAGAGGATTTTCTTCTCTTTCGAAGAAAAATAAAAAATCAATTCTGGATCGGGTTTAAATACGGGTCCCCTAATTTATTTGATCGGGTTGGGATAAAATGATACCATCGGGCCCATATATATATCTACCAGACTACTTTGAGTATAGAGTCCAAAACTTCGGTTTTTATTGTCCAGTTCAAATTGGGCCAGCCTATTTCTCTTCATGGGATTTTATCCCAAAGGCTGCTTCTAATTTTGAAATGAGTGAAGTTGATATGTCTTTTTAAGTTAATATATTTTGAAAGCTGATAGAAAGGGAAGTGGAGAAACTACAATTTTTATTTAAAAAAAAAAAAATTAAACATTTATTTAATTTATTTAATTTTTTTCTAATTTTCTGAATTTTTTTAAAATTTTTTAAAAAATAAAATAAAAAATGACGCACAAACCGCCAAGGGCCCAAGGCTCCGTCTATGCTCGGGGCAAAGACATGTTCCCTTATGGCGCCTAATGCCTTGTACAACACTGTTTATGGTAATAGTACTCCAGGAAAACCCGCCAGCATTAAGTTGTTGGATCTTTCGTATGGTCAGCTTAGAACTGCCTTAATAGCTGCAGAGAGCCAGAGACTGATGATAGAGACTGAGACCGACACCATCAACATTTCTACTTTTTTTTTTTTTTTGTAGAAATCAACATTTCTACCTAAAAGCCTGCAAGATTGTCTAAAATAGAACATAGCAACATACTGTATTAACTTAAAGGAATTCGTGGCGAGATCAGGGACGGAGCCAAGAAATTCAATTAGGGGGGCGAAATTTATTGTTGAAGATTTGATTCTTTTAAGGGTATTTTTTATGACATTAAATTATTTTCTTTAAATCTTCTACCTTAAAAAATTTTTTACTTATGGGCTATTTCATTGATTTATTTTCAGCAAAAATTAAAAATAAATGTATTTTTTTAATTATAATAAAAATCAAAATATTATAATAATAAATTATGTAATGATTAATTAAAAAATAAATAAATAAATAAATAAATAAATAAATAAATAAAAAGAAATGTACTTGTTAACTGAATCTTTAACAAATTATGAACAAAAACACTATAAAATTAAATTGTTTTAATAAACTTCCATTAAAAAAACAAAAACAATATAATTTTAAAGTAGGAATGAGATTGTTTTGATTTTATTTAAACAATGCAATTTTAAAATATTTTTTTTAAATTTTTTAGAGGTCATATTTATAAACACTAATATTATAAAAAAAATTAAAATGTTTCTTTTAAAAAATGAACTCTAACTAAAATTGATTTAATAAAAAA